TATATATAATTCCTAATTAAGGCAAATTATGACAATTATTGCAAACGGGATAATAAATGCACCTGTATCACTAGCTGCAGCCAGGTACTACAATATATATGGTTGATTGGAGATCGTGTAGACTCCTACAAATGCTTGGTTATGTGCATCGTGTTGTTATCCACAAGTGACATTTCGTGTACTCAACAAGTGGACTGCACACAAACAATACTGAAGCTATATGATCGAGGCTGAATGAGGTTTTGAGACTTTATCACGGCTATGGGGGCCGACTATTCTGTAACCATATGGATGATTTCCTCTACTGCGTGGATTACGATTTTATAACCTCTGAACCTGTTTTTAACCTTGATGAGTTTTTTAACCAGAAATTATCTTCTTTGTAAACTTCATAATTTCAAGTTATTTTTTTAGTTTTATTTTTCAGGTGATTGATATTGTTAATTAGTCGGTTCAGTTCCATAAAACAATAAACTTGAGCTTGACTCTTTATAGAACAGGAGATTCAAACTAAATCTTATCTTTTTCTTTAAAATACCCAATAAACTATTCTTTATATTTAATCAAATAATTCAATATGAAGAAATTTCTTAATACGACATTCTTAACTCTTTGTCATTTATGAAACATACTCATTGTAAATCGTCTCTCTATATGAATAAATTTACCTGTAATTTTTCTAGACTCTGGAATAATCTAAAACAATTTATCCGTACGATAAAATCACTCTCATTCTTTGTTCGCTACATTGTTGCATACTGCTCCTCTGAAAATGCATTAAATGTTCTAATACATGTAAGTGTATCTCATTCCGCAAGTGAGATTATAAGAAGTTTAAATGTTCAGTTATTATTAGTAGTGAATTCCCCAAGTAAAACCACTTAGGTGTTGTGACTTTACATTAACACAGACCCTAGCAACCTTAACTAATTTGAATAATATTTAACATTGACGGTATATCACTGTGACATATGGCACATGCATTATGGTAGATCTGATTGACATATTTTGTTAATTATTGCTTCGTTGTTTCGTGCTCTCTGTTTTCTTTATACTTTCTCTAGTTGTAGATAATTATCATCAATTCGTTCTGGCACAGAAAACGACCCTAAATGCACCGTTCATCAATCAACAGGCTGTCCACTTGACAAAAGAAAACCTACGGTTCATTTATGGTCTGTGACGTAAGTTATTTTCAAAATTTATTTGAGTGATGTATTAGTTAGTGCACAAACTTCAAACAAGGCGTTACTGCACACCAAAATAATAAATAAATAAAATAGAAAAAAAGATGAAATATATGATTTCGGTAAGACATAAATAAATCCGAATTCTGAAAAAAACTGCTATATCAGTTCACATTATTTAATCATAATGCAGTTGACACTGTTATCTTTTCCTGATTTCAATACCGCTTAACGTCCACCTGATCAGTGCTAACGCCATACAGATAGTCATTTTTGCTAGAATAGCATAAACGAATCATCTTTTACAAGTTGAAATATTTGAAATGCATCTAAATTACTACTTATATCAAAACATAATATTGGAGTTATGACAGAATAAACTGTGATCTAGTACTAATCAATATCATAGTTTTTAAGGGAGTCCTTTAATTTAATTTTCGAAAGGTCATAACTAGATATTAGTTGTCAGAGTAAAATAAATCAACATTTCAGATAAACCTCAGATTCTTAAAATGAACTTCATACACTAATAAAATGTTTCTTTATTATTTATAAAATGATTGTACGTCTAAATAAATACCAGTATGCTAAACGCATAAACTTAATAAAGTGACAATAATGAAAGTAACCGATGATATCATTCAACAAATGTTGAAAATAGTTCAGCAAAGAACATTTTCTTTTCAACATTATCATTTACTCAAGCTGTACCATCATATTTGTGGTTAATTTATACATAACATAGTCGATTGAAAATTAAGAAGACGATTATATCATATTATGTGCCAAAGAAAGTGGTTTAATAATCGTGGAATGAAGAAAGATAATAATAAGAAATTAAAGATGCAAAGAATAATTGTCCGCTTGACGAGTATGAAAAAAATGAAGGAGAAATCAAGAGCATGGTGATTATAGCGAACAATTTAAATTAATAAGATTAAAAATTTTATAAGAGTGTAATGAAATCAGATTACCATTTAAAGCAATTAGACCCTTTGATAAATTTCGATAATGTAATAGGAAGAGTAATATTATCAGATAATCTTTGTCTTCTTATTACATTATCGAAAGATTCCCATTCATAAAAATCAAGTGTTAAGATCATGGAAAAATGGTTCTCACATATCTCTTTTGACCACAGAGTTCAATTTGAAAAAGATTGTTTGTTAACGGCTCTGCAGTGCATAAATTATTGATATGCACTCCTATAGAACCAAATTATTGATTGTTAACTACAAGGCAGTCTCACTAAAATTTAGTCATAATTAGTAAATACAGTTTGTATGTAAATATATTATCTGTTTGAAGAAGGTACATCAACATCAAAATGATAACAGATACGTTTTACTAACACTTATCGACAAATTAAGAACCCATATTGGACAAAGATTACCTTCAGATACACAGAATTAAGGATTATGCTGATTTTTGGTCATTTAGTAATAAATTTGTCAATACATTCAAAAACTTTCAATTGTGGATAATAATCGATAGTAAGATTATTTCAGTAGGATCAGAATATCCCACAAAAATAAATATTTGTGATACATTGTTGAAATATCCATTAAATCATACATACAATAACTGACAGCTTTTTTATAATGATTCCAAACTAATAAGGAGTAATTTGTGGTACAATGGGAAAATTTAAAATTCTAATTAGATTAATAATCCCTGATTCTGATTTTTAACAAAACTTACGTTATTTATTTAAAATTCAGTGGATTTCATTTTTTCAACGCATGATATTTTCCATGACCGAAATTGAAATTTATTCAAATAGACTTCAAAAAACATTAATAAGTAGAGGATAATTCTGTCGATGACACAGGTTGTTATTCATATATGGAAAAGTATGAATACCTCACTTTTAACTGACGTTTATGCTGACAACACTGTTCAAATGAATAACAAAAACTTCACGATTATACAACCCTGCTAGGAAAACTAAAGTTCACGGAAATCATTTACTCAAGCTACAAATCTTCTCCATCATCTCAATGATGATTTTCTAACAACCACTAGACAAGAAAATATGATAATAGTTATGTATGTGGTAATTTTGGTTCCAACTGTTATCAATAAACAGAGAAAAAACGAAAACTGAACATTCATGAATGATAACAAATGTGTGCAATCGATGTATTTTTACAGTAATTAAGAATGTGTACCAAATACTTGCATTTATTGTCAATGATTCCAGATGACTCCTCTTGAAAATTCTTATTTTACGTTAGTTCAGTTCAAGAGATGAAATTATGTTGGTATATTTTAGAGCAAAAGATAAGAGTAGAAATCAGAAAGTTTGTTTCATTCAGTTTACAACTAATCACTTATTGATACAGTAAAATATGCTGGTACTCAGTGAAAACCAAACAACTAACCCTTCACTTCAAACACCAGAGCGCTGTTTACCGTCTTAGTAAACATGGTAAGTTTGTAAAGACTGTGTCCAGTTTCATAAATGTCTTGACATCCTCCAAACTGAACATAGTTTTAAGATCATATAATTTTTTATATAATTGTATAGTACTGAATGTTGGAAGTGTTAAGAAGATTAATTTCACCAAGCGACATAACGACGGTTTATACTTTATTTTCTCTAATTAGTTAGTGAATATGATACATTTGCTAAGTATAGGTTTATGTACTCGGCTTTTAATTATATTTTTAGTCAATGATATTCAACTATACGATGTGTTTTGTGTTTATATTTCAAACGAAAAGGCTTATGTAAAAAGACTAATTTTGTAACATAATATGCTCCAGTTTTCTTCCAAATAAATAAATAACACAAAAAATCTGAATTTAAATTTATTAAAGAGCATCAAGCCCATTGAGAAATATCATTAGTTCGAACTCAACTTAAGGAACATTTCTATAAACAATATTGACTAGTAGGATAAAGTGTTTCTAAATACGATTTACGATCGATTTACTACTTAAATTGAAATCAAGTAAAAAATTTTTATATGTTTAACTTACACAGCAGTATGGACCACTATGTATCATAACAGAAATTCTTTTCTCGACTCGATCAGAAATTTACGAAAGGTATTATCTAAAATGTTTCACAGAATGTACTGGTCAATATAGGCTGAGAAAGTGATTAAAATGTTTCAGAATAATTTGTTAATGAAGTACACCTTGGTGAACTCAGCTATGAGACATACTACCAATAATATTGTTAATTAAATAGAATTTAAAGCATTGTTAGCTCTACTTTATAAATTTTATAATAATTTACGACAAAATGCTATGTCTAGGCAATCAACCAAGAATTTAAATAACTCAATAAAGAATAATCAAATCCCAGTAAAGAATATTATCAATGGAATAATTTCATCTCTTTCTAATAATGATTTGAATATCGTATTCTTTCTTTAAGTCAATGAGTTTCAGTACCTCGGCAAATAATGCTTTCACCGTTTAATGTGAAAGTTAAATTATATGCGTCTAAGAATGGATATTAGCAATGAGATGCAAAGATATCCAGGCGAATAGTCCTGTATAATATAAAATGAGCTTTCTGGACTCCGTTGCCAGCTATCATTTTTTTGTAGAATTCTAAGACATTCATTGCAATTTGAAACCTTCAAGTTTTAAAGAATCATAAAACATAGTCAAGCCACTGTAATATACAGTGATGTATTACTTTAAAACAAGTGTTTCAGGATACAATCGACTGCTTAAAAACTTCCTTAATAAGTAGAGAAATAAATTACTTCAGTCTGAAACATTCTGTTGTACGGCATATTTCAAGAAGTCTAGAGAGCGGCTTAAAATTTCACATCAGTCATAGACTATATAACATGTTAATGTGCTTATATATTTTTTTACAACTTTTATTCGTCTGTACACTTTATTGTTATTTTTGATGACAACACAAGTAATGAAATAAAGAATATAAATATATATTTTTACTATACAAATTAAAGAAAACTTCAATAGATTTGCCATGAATTTGCTTAATTTTCGTCCATTTATTCTCTTCTCTATTTGGTTTGTTCTTTATAAAGGTTTTTCAACTGATAGATTTTAAACTTAATAATAATAAACAAAAACAGCAATGAAATAACATAAAGAAAGAAGGATATGTAAATGAGAAACGAAAATAATAGCCACAGGGTATGACAATCAGTAAAGAATAGGTATATGTGCGTGTATGTGTGTTTGTGTGTGTAAGGAAACAGAAGACCATCACAACAACATTTATGATAACGATGTGTTGTCAATAACAAATACATACAAACGAAAAGTTACGTTAAAGAATAAAACAACAATAAATAAAAGTTAAAACGACCACTTTATGATGTATTAAGTAAATTTCTCACTTATTTACACAGTAGAAACATTAAAGATACATTAGTTAAACAATAATTTAAATTATAAAAAAACAAAGTTAGATTAAAATGCAACAAGAGAGATCATTTTAAATAAAAAAATATCAGTAGTATCATTATCATTATATTCGAATAGAACCTAAATAAACACTAAAACATGAATACTGATATACTTTACTTACCAGATGATCATTACTAATCGAACACTTATTACTTACCATACTACTATCATCAAATGTAAAACTCAATTAAAAGTTACAAATATACAAGACTTTTATTCTTCCACAATAAATCATTATAACTCAGATAATAATAATAATATTGGCAAATTACATTAAAGGATTCCTCCATTCTTTTACATTTCACTAATTTTCATTTAATTTGGGAAATTTGCGAAAAAAGAAAGAAAATTGATAGATAATTGTTATGAAATAATCTATACTTATGAATGGGAACAAGAAAAAAAGGGTGAATACAATGAAAATGAATACTTTGAATGTATAACATTAATATAACTTCTATAAGGAAACAAATTGATCAAATTATTTTGATGAAAGACACATATAGAACGAAGAGAAACCGATTGAGCATGGAGGGAGAGAGAGAGACAAGAAGAGAAATGTTGAACAGTCAGAATGATCTATGTTTATTTTTTTAAAGTCAAACTGATCTAAAAATCATAATCAATCAGCCTGAACAATAATCAAGAAAATATTTACTTTAATAAGTTGAAATTATTGAATTAAAATTTCGTTTGAAATAAACAAAAGCATTAATTAAAAGCACTGAACATCAGTAGTATTAGTGGTAGTACCCACAAAACTACAAATAATATTATAGTTATATATTATAATGAAAGCAAAAGAAAAAAATCCGTGTAACTATTCAAGAAAGAATGTTAGTAGAAAATAAGGAATTATACATTTTTTTAAAAAAATTACTGTTATGATGTTGATGACGGAGAAATGATAGTGTTAGGTGCATTGAGATTTGTTGCCACTGTTGAATCAGCTGTAGATGAATCTGCTTTATCCATACGTTTATCAGATTCATATGATTTTAAACGTAGACGAGCGAAATCTTCAAAAATCAAATCATCGTCATCATCAACACCACCACCAACACTACTGACTAAATACGTTTTACTGTTTTTGTAATGATTCGTTGTTTTTAAAAAAAAGAATAGTAAAGAGAATTGAATAAATTAGTTTAAACAAAAGTCTGTTTTTCACATGGTAGTTATTAAAATCATGCGTTCTCACAACAGATATGGTTTTATGTTAATAATTCTTTACAAACTAAAAAATCAAAACATTTATACATACACATACTGATTGATCATATAATATTCAAGTTAAATATCTTGCCAATGATAAATATAAATCTGGTGACTGAAAAGTGCTTACGGTGTTCTGTTTTCGTCATTCACTTAAATAAGTTAGTTTGCTAGAAGCAATTCACAGTAAGGAGAGGAATACAGGACATGGGTTTAGTCAATTTTGCGATTGAAAACCAATATGTACTAAAATCTCACTAAGCCTTATATCCAGTAACCATCATTTTAAATGTCAATCTGTCGTTTACAAGGCCTACTGAATTTAATCAGCTAATAACTTGTTGAAAAGGTATATATTCATTTCTCATTATTTATTATTTTCAATCGTTAGTAATAAAGACCGGAAATATTTAGTGTGTGTTAGGATACATGTATCGTGGTAAGATCACATTGAAATGTTTATGTTACGATTTAGTTAATAAAAATATTGGCACATATTCTAATTTATTCTACAGTACCAGACAGATTAAATATGTGAATAAATGTTAAAATATTTAAATTCATAAATTATAAATTGATTAAAACCAGCCAATAAAAAGCCATGAAAGTCCACGTTTTGTTAGTCAATATTCATCAGAAAATCGTATTTCTCATCATGAGTAACCCAATGACCACTATGTAACTCTAACATATACCATACATTGCCACGGTTGTTCCTATAGAGATTTACAGGCCAAGGACAACAACTAGCCCGAATTTTGGTGTTAGAGCAATCGTAACAAAAGTATCAACAAAATAATTTGAGTGATTAGCCTTAAAACATAAGAATATCACATTACCATTAATTTACAACTATTATATTATTATCAGAATATCACAGCAATGTGTAGTTGACACGATGTCTTTAATAAATACTGTTAAACTTCATGAGATTTGTTGTTTTCCTAGAGTTGTATTACATACATCACATCATCTGGGCTTAGAAATGTATGGAGTTATGAAATAATAATCCTCATTGTGCAATAAGCGCGCATGTTTGCTACCAGATTATAACATTTTTGATCAATAATTCATCTATTCTCTTCTCCTTAATATACACTTACAGACACACGTGCAGAGATTCAGACAATTCAAATGTATATTCACACTCACATACACAAAATACTTATCCTGTAAATAGTACGCTAGTTAACTACCAATAAAATGATAATAAATTCATTTCAACTATATTTTCAAGAAACACATTTAATGTCAAGCATAGCTATTCAAGAGAAAAAGGTGAAAAACTTTATTGAAATCAATCGTACATATATAATACGTCCGAAAACCAAGGGGAATATTAATGTGTGGATATGAAATTTCATTTTCTTGTTGTTTTTTTTTGAGAGGGAAGAATTTTTCTAACACCTATCTTATCTAAACAAAATAAAGAATATTAAAAAGATGCTCTCAGCTCTAAGTTCTCTTAAGAAAAACTCTTGTTCAAATATGATTCATCAAGATGAAGAGAGTGAATAAATATTGTTAACCAGCTTGAAAGAATAAATTTACAGTTGATTAAATTACAAGATATTGAAGTCATATTATGTATTTTATATATCATCAAACTATCATATTCAACTACAAATAAGTAGCTCATAGTATTCATTCACTAAATTATCATGTGTTTGTTGTACATTTGAACTTAAACAAATATAACACACAAATGCAAATAATCACTAGTTTTACCTACAAACTACAATACCACGTGGTTATAAAGTGTGACTTTTTAGTTTTGTTGTGACAAAACTATTGATCAATATAATATAATCTATGTAAAAAGAAATATACCGTAAATTATAAGATTGTGTAATAAGATTACTTCGGTTATTTAACTTTAGATTTATATTTTTAAGGAAGAAAAAAAATCAAACATGTTTTCAGTACTTTTTATTCGTTGGAAGTAATTCTAATGATTAATACATGGTTATATTGTAGATAAACAAAATCAATAAGAAATGAGCTTTAATATCAGCATTATTTCTGTTCTATATGAAAATAGTTTTCATCATAGATAGTATCAACAGCTAATAGATTATTGGAAATCAAAGAACATTGGATAGTTAGGATTTTGTTTTAGTATATTATGTTATATACGATCCTTAGAATTTTTAGTATAATAAAGTACCGAAATGTATATCAAATCGAATTGAATAGTCTATTCGTTACTATTATATTAATTGATTATTTTTGATCAAGAAAAATAGTAGTTATATTTATGGTTATATTAAATAGTCTTGTTAGGATTATTAAATAAAATGTTTAGCCTATTATTAATCTGTAAGTATAATAAAAATAGTATGGTTACTAATGTATCCAACTCACTTGTCATTTATTCCATCATCCAATTTAATTAAATCATCTGTAATATTTACATTACGATCAGATGAACTTTGTTCGTTTGGATGTAGCTGGGATTGTTGCAAGATATCCTGATTATGTTTTAGTCTATCATCTGGTCCAGATAACAAAGGATGAAGAATATCATTAACATCATCAATAACTAATTTTGTTGATGTACCATTAACGTCTGAATCAGGTTTTGGATGAGTTAGTGTGAAGGGAAGTTCCACACTGACATCACTTATAAAAACAGTTGGAAAAATTATAAACAGACATTTATTTGACGTAATAATAATATCAGTAGGGGTTTTTGTAGATATTATAGTGATTTCAGTAGTTGAGATCATGAGTCAATTGTAGCTAGACCACCATAAAAAACGTGAAAGCACCGGACGGCCGTTTCGTCCTACTGTGGGACTCCTCTGCAGTGCGCATCCACGATCCCGCTTGCGCGAGTCAAACCCAGGACCCATTGTTCTCGTGCACGAACGCTTAACCACTAGACCACTGAGCCGACCGGCATCCAATGGTGTTAATGTCTAATTCCAACTAATCCATGAGATTGAGCAATACATCCATCATTGTTTTCAGTGAGTTCCTATCTCACAAGAGAACCGGTTGAACTCCACTGGTCAGTGCTTCTCACTAGAACTCCTGAATATGCACTTTGAAGCCGGTCACTAGTGAGCATGTACTGAGAAGTACCATAATAGGACAAATCGGCCGTTCAGTGCTTCCAGGTTTTCCATGGTGGTCTAACTTTAATTGACTCATGATCTCTACTACTGAAATAATAATAATATCGAAGTCACAACTGAATTAGAAAGAACTATCGTCGAACTATTCAGTCATATGCTATTGTTTTTTTTTATCTTCGATGAATAACTCAAGATATTTTTCTACTTAATATCAGCAAGATACAAAGTGCCAATCCCTGTTTGTTTAAATGAAAACAATACATTTGCATTCGATACTTGTAATGGTAACATGAATTTTGACAGTCAATGGTTGTGTGTCTAAATAATGCATCCGGATACCGCATTATACATAAACTTTCGTAATCATAACAATTTTTGTGGCTTTTAAAGTCTTTTCAGTGCAGTATTTAAAGTAGAATTTTAATTATAGTATTTCTCAAATAAGATTCACAGATATTTATAAATAACATTTTTTCTATGAAAAATACCTTCACATTTTTATTTAAATATTAGATTAGTGACAATGTTGACTTAAATAAGGATAAGTCAAATTCAAAGCATTATGTTTCTTATTATAACAACGCGCAAAATGGTAAGAAGATACAAGTGAAATGTTGAAATAAATATTCATAACATCTCAAATAAATAAATAATTTCGATATATAAGTAGTATATCAGTTAGTGAAGAAGCAAATGTAACAATACACTCGGGTTGATAGATGCAGACTTCATTGTTCAAGCCCCTGTTATTATTTCAATCGATGGTTGGTGATTATGTGTGAAATTGTTATGAATAGGTGGTAATGTTGATTTTATCTTCCATGATATACAGAGTTTCAGTACTGTGTTGCACATCTATATCACAACTCGTTTGTCAAACCTTTTATATCACCAGCATTACTATCATTACTTACAGTAATTATATGATGTAGTAACTTGAAGTATTCCACTTATGTGTCAGTTTCTACGTTGCGTATAACCAATTGTAGTAAACAGAACATCCGTTTGAAGTAAATATATGAAAAGTGAGCACATAAGTACTGAAAGCAAATAGTTTTAAGTTACATGAACAAGACAAACTTTTACTTAGTAAATGGAAATTATTCTCAAAGATTTGTATTTACAGTTATGGTAGCCAACTACGAAACTTACAAAATAAATTTGTTTAAACAATTAACCTCAACTTACCACGGAACATATCAAATACAAAAATGCCATGTATAATTATCGAATAAGTTATATAAATAAAGACTATCCTTTTTTATAATTTATCAATGCAAAGAGTACAGCATTTAAACAAACTTCAACCGAGATCCAGTGAGAACATCAACACTTGTATGCAAGTTCATCTAGTTGATGAGTCCCAGATAAAAGGAAAAGTGAAAATTAAACTTAGCTGATAACCACTATCTATCAATTCTAAGTAACTTGAGACATAATAATTACACCTGGGCAATTCCTATGTAATTCACATATGTCAACAAAGATTGACCAAAATGAGCCCCTTACTAGCAACGATATAAATGCAACATTTATTTTGAATAATCTTGATAATGAATATATACTTTTGGGTTATTTTTTCAAATAAAAACCAATATAATCAATAAATTACTAGAACTTAGTGAACCTTTAGTTGTAAGACCTAAAAGAAGACATACACAACATACACAATATTGATTTACTATCCAGAGAGGTGTGGACATGAATTTCTTTGTTAATTATCACATTTTTCTTATATTCGAATTATCTAGTTGACTTTTATTTCTCATATACATACATACAAATATCATAAATATGTGTTCACATTGTTCGAAATGTATTATGCTATTATATTAAATAATTCTGAGAAACCTTACCTTCATACGGAATCATTCAAGCTGAATAAAATGATTTATTGGTTTAAAATATATACTGATGAGAATAGATGAATGAATAGTTTATAAAACTAATAAATAAAATGTACAACCCTCTCACCTTGACACGAATCCTAATACTAATCGAACTTTTACACGATACTGAACAGTCATACCAAGATTTTCTTTATGGTTCGGATTGCATATACTATCAGTACATTAAAATTAGACAAAAGAAACTAAATAAGGATCTACTTCAATCGAAAGTATTATATTACAATTGAAAGTGTATATTTGGTAAGGTGGAAAATAATTTGGTTATACAACTAGCCTCAAAATAATATAAAACCTAAATGCAATGACATAATAATAATCAACATATGCTCACTAGTGACCGGCTTCAAAGTGCATATTCAGGAGTTCTAGTGAGAAGCACTGACCAGTGGAGTTCAACCGGTTCTCTTGTGAGATAGGAACTCACTGAAAACAATGATGGATGTATTGCTCAATCTCATGGATTAGTTGGAATTAGACATTAACACCATTGGATGCCGGTCGGCTCAGTGGTCTAGTGGTTAAGCGTTCGTGCACGAGAACAATGGGTCCTGGGTTTGACTCGCGCAAGCGGGATCGTGGATGCGCACTGCAGAGGAGTCCCACAGTAGGACGAAACGGTCGTCCGGTGCTTTCACGTTTTTTATGGTGGTCTAGCTACAATTGACTCATGAATTCAACTATTGATATTTTATCTTAGTTTGAAAATATCTTTACAATTTTGAATCAGATTGAAATAATAACAATTTTATACTAAACGATGAGAATAATAGCAACAATGTTCTCAAATTATTGTTTTAAAAAATATGAGTTTTGTTGTTTGATTCTAGTGTTGTTGTTATTGAATTATTCAATAATATAATATTTATAACTGCTAATTTATTCAATGGATGTCATGTTCTATCATCTATTTCCAGTTTAAAAGTAATAAAAACTTTATTTAACAAAGAATCAGATAAACTATTTGACTATAACCAAATACGTATATTTAGACATTATTGATTTTCATTAACTCATGTCATGCTTTCTGGTGAGTGATCTATGTTCCTCCACGAGAGGTAACAGGCTCAATCAAGCAAGTAAATAAGTAAGGGATTCCATGCTTTATATAAAGCATTCTAAAGATATAACGAAAACAAATAGATAGATTTAGGTCAGATATTGCTATTGATAATATTATGATAGTAATATATTACTATTATTATTATTATATTACTAAGATAATAATATAAAAATTAAACATTTAAACTTGATGTTGCACCCTGTGTAAATAATGTTATCATTAAGGTGTTTCATTCTTTTTTATTGAAATCAACTACAATTGAATACAATGTTTATTCTATGGTACAATGTTGTGAATAAACTTTTCACTTAAAACAGTGAAAATAATTACCCTAAAAGGAATGAAACGTGGAGCATTAAGTGTTAAATGGATGAAGATAATCAATATAAAGCCTAGACAGTTTAAAGTTGTCACAATAAACACAGTGTCATTGAATCACTGAATATCCATATAAAATTCAATTAAAATTCAATAGTATATATCTTTATTTTAAAACAACAATACAAATAACAAACTTACATTGTGGATGACGCTAGATTAGTATCTTCATGTTTTAATTTACCATCTAATGCTAAACCACGTTTATGTCTGTTATTAGCAAGTAATGGACGTAGTTTATATACTTTACACCAACCCGTTTGACTTGGCAAAATAGGAAATGACTCACTATCAACCAAAATAATATTAAAAAGTAAACAAATGATTACTGTAAATAATACTCAAAATAAATAGTTAGAAAATAATAATTAGAATGAATGTAAACTTATCAGAATCATTCTACAAAACTGTGATAATATTAATTAATGATATTATTGTGTATGTTACCAATCGGATATGAAATGCATGCCCGCAGAAGATTGAGAAGATTCAATTGAAGAGAACAGAAAGAGAAACAGGAATTAACTATGATAACAATAGAACTAAAAGAATCATGAAGAATGTAAAGAACAACTGATGGGAGATATGAAAATTATATATTTGATGTAAAGCTTTCAAAAATAAATTGATCTTCCCCACTTGAGTTCTCGTTTACTACATTACCAGTGATAATGATGATGAAATGAATGATAAAACGAAGTCAGACACATACAGTAGTAAAGTGAATCAATTATGAAAAAGATATGTATTTACACTTAATGATATTGTTTATCGAACGTACGATCATTGCTTTGAATTAAGGTTGTTGAAAATTTTCATAAGGAGTTCCAATAACACATGCTACGTCTAAGTTGCATTTATAACCACAAGAGAATTTAATCGTTTTCGTGGAATGCGGTCTTATATCAGTCAGTATCATACTCACAGAGATTACCATTCAGTCGTTTGGGCAATAACTCTCCTTTTATAAGGATGAGCTGTTCGCATTATTTTCTTTCTAAATACTAACGAACATTATATCATCTAGTCCTAGTAATTGTCTTCATTCCATCGATCATCCCTATGATGTGGTCAATGGTTCAAGTGACTCGACATCGTAATGAGCTTTGTTTGATATTAAATAATTTTATGACAACAGTAGAAAGTATTGAAATTTGATCAGTAAGCAACGAATAACACTAAATACAAAATAACATGAGTGAAACTTATTCGTCGTAAAATCCAACGTAGAATAATAACATTAAGTGAACAGAATAATTATTTGAAAAGTTCTCAGAATAATACAACCATAAAAGATTTATTGTAGTGAATGAATGTAATTGATTTCTAAATGTTTAAGGGTCTATAATTAATGTATGCTCGTTTCATTAGGTTCAAATTATATGTGTTGTTTCTTGATGCCTAAACACCTAATCTTAACATATAACCAGTTCAGAAGAATTTTCAGCTCTTACACTGATTGTTAAGTAATCTGTTCATTTTATAACAACGTATTTACTGAATAAAACTTTTTCAACATTATAATTACCTTGTTCATTTCAAGCTTTGAATTATTTTCCTAAATATTCGTTGTCATCGTCATAACTGTCGTCATTAATTCTTATATTGAATTGCTCTCAATCAATCGTGTCCATTATTTAACCGACATGTTTTTTATACCTAATCGTAAAATTCAGTTGTACTAGTTCGAAGATATGTTAAAAAGCTTAATCGAATAAAACATTTTTCTCATTAATTTGTTTAGATTATTCGAAAATCAATTATTGAATAATAGAATTAGAGAAAAAAACTAATAAATCTCACAGTGAAGTCATTTAATGGCTAGAAAATTCATGCTTTGACTTTCCAATTAATAGAACATTGACAGTACAAACACCACTCCGTTTTAGATACTCTGTATCCGTCAATGCACTTTTTACTAAAGCTAATTACTATCAATGAATTTATTTTATATGCTGGATATTCAGAGTGATTTTTTCTCATTCAAAGTAATTGCGTCACTATATACGTGATCACATAATTAAAATTCCATATAAGTGATCATACAAAATATTTTGATAAAATAAGTCGATATCTTTATTCTATTATACTCGAATACGTTGTATAAAACCTAATGATACTACTCAAACTTAAAAACAATAAACAAAATTTGTAGTACTTGAAAGTGAATTATTTTAGTAAATACGAAACTACAGCTCAACTATATTCAAACATAAGATGAATGAAACCTTCTAGAGTTAGTTATTTGAACTATGTTGAGACAAGATATGAATCATAAGTATTGCTACAATGAATCTTTTAATAAAGTACAAGCTGAAAACGATATATTGGCTTGACAATGTTATCTTCCATGAAGTACCATATTTATTAAAATATTGCGTTTGTAAGGCTTACAAAGATATCCTGTTTGATTTAATATCCATAATAATCGAAATCTTTCGAATGTATTCACATAATTATAGTAGCTTAATACATATTGTTTGTGAAAAACTAGAAAAATTGTTAGTTTAAAATCTGAACTGACCCAGCACACTCAACAATGTAATTCAGTAAAGTTTATGTAATTATTAAAGATATGTTGTTTTTGCATAACAATGATAATAATAACAATAAGTGAAGGGTTTTTTTTCCAATTTACCAATAATTTTGTACATAAGTACATTCCTTTTTAATTAGAAAAACAACATAAATTGGAATTCCGAAAGATATTTACCACTTAAAATAATAATTGCATGTTATATCATAAATTTTTTCTCATTGCAACTGCAATTTATCGATTCAGTAATCTTGGCAAACAATATGTGCGCTTTTTTTCGAATAATATCTAATTCATACAATTTCGATATAATTTTAATATTAATTCAATGTAAACGAAGTAAAGTCCCAATTTTAATAACTGATAATTGACCAATTATCATTCATATTCATTTTACTGTCAGTCACTCAGTCAGTAACAACGTGGAACTTCGTACGTACGTACATCAGTTCGAGTTGCCATACCACATTAGCACAGAGATTCAGTTATCGATTCAAATCCCGTAGTGGTAGAGGTAGTGGTAGGGAACATTAAGGTTTGATGCTATTTAAGGAGTATAGTCCAGTGGAAAAGATTTGGAAAGAAGATAAAGGACATGAAGAATACAGAAGATTAGAGTTTGAGAGAACACAGAGAGTGGATGCACCTGCGCCATTGCAAACGATTTTGAGCCATTTCATTCAAGGTCTCTAACCATCGGTTGCTATCATCTCGCGGTCCCCAACCAAGTAGTCTACACCTACCAACATGACTCAGTCCACTTGTCAGTGACTTCATGGATTTGTGCCATGTTTTGGTCTGGCCGCCCCTAGCTTTCTTCCAACCTACTCCTACACCAGAAAACATAGCACGTCGGGGCAGTCGGTGGTCAGGCATGCGCAACACATGTCCCAGCCATCTCAACTGATTAAGTTTCACTACTTCATCAATTGATTTGCCATCCTTACCTAGTACCCGTTTCCTAACAACTACATGACTTACTCGGTGGTCCCAGGATATACGAGCGATGTTTCGAAGACACCTATGGTCAAATACTAGTAACCTACGAATATCCTCTACTCTTACTGGCCATGTTTCACTGCCATAAAGTAGGACGGAACGAACTGCTGCGCAGTAAACACGTCCGTTGGTTGATAGACGGATATCTCGCCTACGCCACAAATGCTGCAAGTTGGCAAAAGCTAGTCGAGTCTTCTGTATCCGTGCTGAGATTTCGTCACACACCAAACCACAAGGGCTGATGAGACTTCCGAGATAAGTGAAGCGGTCGACAAGCTCAACTACTTCACTCCCTATCACTAGTTCGGGTGTCGACGCAACCCAATCCTGAAGCAACATTTTGCATTTCGAGGGAGAAAATCGCATGCCGAACATACCTGCATTGTTGCTTAGAGTGGTCAGCAGACTCTGCATTCTGTCAGCGTCTTCACTAAATAGAACTATGTCATCGGCGTATTCTAAGTCAACAAGTGGATCTCCCGGTAGAAGTTCAACTCCTGGAAATTTAGATGAGGAAAGTGTCATATCTAAAAGGACGTCAACGACAAAGTTAAACAAGAATGGAGAGAGTGGACAGCCCTGACGAACATCACTTGAGGTAATCAATTCTGATGACAGTTCGCCATAAGTTCTCACTCGACCAGTTGTGTTCGACTAGAGAGCCTTTATAAGGTTGATGTACTTCTTTGGTACTCCCTTCAGTGACAAACACTGCCATAGAACCTCACGATCAACAGAGTCAAATGCCGCCTTAAGGTCGAGAAATACTACCATTGTGGGACGTCTGAATGTGTGTCTATGTTCTAGGACCTGACGTAATGTGAATATTTGATCAATACAACCACGTTCAGGTCGAAAACCAGCCTGGTTTTCTCTAGTCTGCTCTTCACGAGCTTTGGTTAGACGTCGAAGTATTATTGAAGCTAATATTTTAGACAATATATTAGTCAAACTAATTCCTCTGCGATTGTCACAGAAGGACTTTTGTCCTTTCCTATAGACTGGTACAATCAGTGATTGAGACCAGTCTGATGGGATTACGTCCAGTTCCCAGATTCTGCCTAAGACCTCAGTCAATCTCGCTGCTAATACTGGACCGCCATCCTTAGAAATCTCAGGGGTAAACCTGTCAGGGCCTGCTGCTCTCCCACGCTTCAGATTTTCTATAGCTTTTTCAACTTCGTAAAGAGTCGGAGGACTTACATTAACTTGCCATTCAGGTCGACTGGAGATCGTGGGAAACCGAAGTGTGGCTGAAGGCCAGTTGAACTGATCCCTAAAGTGTTCTGCCCATCGATCCAATCTCCTGGATTGAGAATGAATAATATGTCCATCTTTCTCTGCAATTGTTTCGCTAACAGTTGGGTTCCTAATACCGGTTTCCTTAACAAGTCTGAACAGTTGCCTACTGTAACCTATTGCCACTGCCTTTTCCATCTCTCTAGCTTTCGCTATCCACCACTGTTCACGATCATTGCGTAAGCTTCTAGTCAGCTTACGCTTAAGCTGACACCGCTCTTCGTTATGTTCAGAGCCAGATGGGATGAGTTTTCGAGCATCTATCAGTGCGGTAGACGCTGCTGAGACCCAGTGTTTCTCCCTAACCTTATGGTTTACCTTACTAGTAGATATCACTGCTGTTTCCACGGATTTCCGGATGTCATTTCAAGCTGCCTCGGGGTGGGCATCACTTACATGGCTGTCTAGCTGTTTTTCTAGCTCTCCCTGAAATATATTCTTAGCTCGGCTATCATTAAGTAGGTCCCTAAGAGGTTTCCTTGCACCATCTTTCCTACGCCCAGTAAGACGTAGACAAATACGCGCTCGCACCAGAGCATGACCTGAGTCTAAGCATGTGCTCCAGAATGAGCGACAGTCTTCTATCGAGCCCCTCCATCGGTGGCTGATAGCGATGTGATCTATTTGGGTCCAGCGTTGAGACGAATTAGGGGGTCGCCATGTTAAAAGATGTTTTTCCTTATGCTTAAAGTTAGCGTTTGCAAGAAACAGGAGGTTATCTGAGCATAGCTGCAACAGACGGTCGCCATTATCAGTTCTTTGAACCGCGACACCATAAGACCCACCCAGGTGTCTTTCCCTTTCGCTTAGTTTACCTACTTGAGCATTAAAATCACCAGCCACTATTACTACATCTGAACGCCTAGCTTTTCGGAGAAGGTCGGAAAGCTTTCTGTAAAACTCATCTTTTACATTATCTGAGCTGCAGTCAGTGGGAGAGTAGGCACAGACGACGAAGAGGCAACGACAAGTGTCCCTATCTTTCCGAGTCCTTACTGTTCCGTTTGGTCGGACAGCGCACAAATGACTATCTACTGGGATCCAGTCTAAGAGAGCTAGTTCTGCCCTAGGACTCAATGCTATGCCTACGCCAGCGAGGCTACGGGAAGCAGCATCAGGGCTTCCAGATACACGAAGCACAAATCGAGTTGGTTCGTTACTTTGACATGGTGAGATCAAATGAATGACACTACTAGGATTCTGTATGCGCGTTTCGGAGACGCAGCATACATCGATGGAGCGAGATTCTAAGGTCTTAGCTAAGGAAGCCTGTTGTCCTATTTGACACAGTGTTCGGAGGTTGAAAGCTCCTACGTGTAGTTCGGAGCGTGGTTTCAGGAGACCAGGAATAACGTTCCGCGTACTCGAATCGTTTGCACTAGTGGGGGCGAGGTGATAAAGGGACGTAAGAAGGGTTAGTCGTGGAGATAAGAGAGTTATTAGGAGGTGTAGGAAGGATTTGAATGTGACCAACTTGGTCTCGTGTGCTGTTACGTGTATGAGGGCTGATATCACTTCCCGGTTGCCCACACCGTGGAAGGGTATTTCTTGAGGAACCTGAAAAGGAAATCGGATTAGTGTTGGTCTTAGCGACCTGGGTGCGTGACCGCAGAGCCCAAAGGACAACTGCTTGAGGCCGGTGGCGCACGGCCATTTTGTGGGAGGTTTTTAATGTATTAGCTCCATTCTTCAAAGGACCTTACCCCCGGAGACGGAAATCCGTGGGGTAAGGTGAGGTGTGACATTTTTAGGGTCAACCTTTTCTAACCCCTTCCTTCATTGTCAGAAGGCAGCATCGCTGCAGATGCTGGTTGTCCGAGGGAAACACTTTACTGCTGTCATTCCTCTGTACAGTCAGCAGAACGACTTCACCCTCAGACCTTGAGTTGCTGCTTTTAGTCTTACCGTCCTCCAATTGACCTGCCTGGCATGGTAGAACCTGCAGAAACATGTGTTCCAGCCAATATAGTTCGGTTGGGTCATCACGATAGGCAATCCCGACCATCACGGTAAGGTAGCAGCTACGGTCGGGTCATTTCACTGTATTATTAGCAGCTAATTAGTTGTTTTGTCTCACGATATCTATTCATTTACAACCTCAATATTATTTTTTCAAAAGTAGACTAGCTTTGAACTATCAAGAAGTATCAATTTAGATTACCAACTACATAGGCGAAGGTAAATAGAATACTTCTCTATTATAACAGTTGACAAGATTATCGAATTATATTGTTAAATAATGATAGAAATAAAACAGAAATGGTGACTAGCAGTGAAATCCAGGATACGTATTTCGTCTTATTTTGGACTCGTCAGCCAGATGTTCATGCATCTGATAGTTCATGCTTGCTCCGGGACCCGAATGAGACGAAACGCACGTCTTGGATTCCACTGCTAGCCACCATATACCCTTGCCTATAATATTTGTGACTTAAAGCAATATTGAGGCAATGCACACAGGATGCACATATGCCAATATGAGACTGGTCAATTTCAATCCTAAACATCGACATGAAAATTCAAATAACCAGTACAAAAATGAATTATTTATAGAAATAATTTATCGTTAATTTACAATAAGTAATCAATATATTTATGAAAGAATTCTGATGTTGTTAAGCGAAATGCAATAACCGGAAATGATTAGTTCTAATTAAATGTATAAAATGTACAATCTTAACCATATATACGTATATTATTACGTGAAATGTCATAATATTTATAATTTGTTGTAAAACACAATAGGTGTATCATCGAATTCAGAATAATTTCTAAAATCATTCACAATGAAATCACAAATTAATATGATGTTCATTAACGGGTTTAAATGTAAATAAACTCTAGTTTCAATGTATATGTGGCCAAAATTCACTTTATTAGCATGTCACTTATGATATGATCGTGAGAAATAAAAAACATGCACAAATAGGTGTGTGTAAACGGATATTTAAAACACAAAGAAGATTTTTCTTAAAAAACAACACTAATACTGTATGAATGAATAAAGAATATCAAGTATGTGTACACAGTGATCATGATAATCTAACAATACAATAATGTATAAAACTTACTCAGTTTCTAATTCATCCACAACACAGTTATAACGATTGTTATTATGTAAGCATAACTGAGTATACTGACGAACTAAATACAGAAGTATAATATGACGAGGCATAGCAGATACATAACATTTATGTATATATATATATATAAAGATTGTGCAAATTTATCATCAAATTACCCAGTAAACAACATCCATCAGAGATTATATGTGTAAGTAATTGTACATGCCAATAGCATTTTATTATCATTATCATCAAACGGTAGGAATAATCAAAAAATAGTGGTAGATTAAAGTGAGTTTGAACAAATGGACGAACGAACGAACGAACGAATGAACGAATGGGTGAGCGAATAAACCAGGTCAACGAGAATAATTGCAGCCAAAAAGTTATTGTAAACAAATGCATGCATTGTGAAAGAAGAATAAAAATGAAAAATAAAACTGGATAAAATAAAATTATATAAGGGTTATACAAAAAATATGTAAATACACATATATAAAAGTATAATTCTAAAACAACGAAAATATTCATTATCAACATTTTGTATTAATTTTTGGAAATTACTAATATGGAATTATTGCAAGAGTTTATAAATCAACCCAGTTTATTACATTAAGTTTAATTGAGTCAATTACAAAAATCATAGTTTATTTGACATATGAAAATAAAAAGACGATAATACGTAAGTCAACACTTGTATTGAACTGTTTTGTTTGACGCCCAATTTTAAGGAGTATATTTACATTTAGTTAAACTATTCCAGTTTCAGTAAACTTACTTTTGAAAAATATATATTTCAATGGTTGAGATTATGAGTCAGTTGAAGCCAGACTAACATAGAGAACCTAGAAGCACTGGACGGCCGTTTTGTTCTACTGTGGGACTCCTCAGCAGTGAGTACCCACGGCCTCGCCCCCTGCGAGATTCGAACCAAGGATCTACTGGTTTCGCACTTAACCACTAGACCACTGAGCCGACATCCATCGGTGTTAATGTCTAATTTCAACTAATCCATGAAATTGAGCGACACACCCATCATTGTCTTCAGTGAGTTGATAATAACTTAAATTCGGTTGTAAGATATATATATATATATATATATATATATATATATATGTATATATATATATATATTGGAGTGAATTATGAGAAAACTGTAAACAGCTAGTATGTATGAAAGAAAGTTGTAGTTCATTGTAACGCTACCCAGGTATTCATTAATAAAAATTTTTGATACTTTGTAAATGATTAGTATAACTAGAATGAACTTCCACTGAATCAATTTAACAAATTTATGCAGACCATAGAAATCATTATTTGTCCAATAAAGTTTGAAATCAATAACTGTATTGTGTTCTTTGATATACAAAGGCATTTTATTCAGTGAATTGGATTTTCTACTCATTTGTTAGTACAATAAGCGAATTGATTAGCACTTGCAAAAATCAGCACGGTGTTACAAGTGCTGCTGTAATAAAATTGAATTCTCAGATAAAAAAAAGATTTGCTTAGGTTGGGGTAGAAAGACTATAAAATTATAAAATTAAAAAAGTAATAATTTTGTTTAAAAGTGACTTGTCAAATTGCATAGAAACATATTTATAGAAACAAGTATCATATAAACTTAAGTTTCGTGTAATCAATTGCCATTTTTGGTTGTTTTATCTGAGTCTGCTTTAAACTTTGTCATAATATTTTACGCATTTTTCTAATTTGACCTAGGTGTAACGTAAGGGAAATTCAAGCTGATAATAGGAACAGTAAGTTTACTTTGGTTTAATCATAATATAGAAGTGATGAGGCGCTTAAATGTTAGATGAGTGAAATTTTACATTAACATAGTTTATGAAATAAGTCTACATGTAATATTTAATTTTATACTTACAAAAACAGCCTCAATTAATTTATTGTAGTTTATATGTATGTCTTGAAAAAATTGATATCTGAGAACCCGAAATGTTGAAGTGATAAAAATCTCACACATTTCATAAGTTATTTGGAGAGATATACTAATGGTGGTTCGGTATGAGATTTTTGATTTCGACCGTGTCTGGATCTTGTTACGTGGAAGTAGATGGCCTTACATGCCACCATTATGAACTCTTCGAAAATTAGCGTCAGCGTAAATTCAAAGAATGAAAAATCTCTCTGATAAATGGAAGTTCATTGATCACGTTATGAACGGTGTAGCGCTGAACAAGTAGGATTTATTGACAATACTGTACACGCTTGGATTGCCGAGTAACAGACTTCATATATTTTGGTAGTCCCTTCTCATTATATTAAAATTCAGTGTGATTGAGATGCTGTAATACATGCTATCATTGGTAATGACAATGAATTTCATAGTCATGTAAGCGAAGTAATTCGGAATTGAACTGTTCTTGCTAAACGTAATTAGTCATTGACCAATACAAATATATACATAAATGGTGAGTGATCAATTAGGGTTCTTGATACGTTTATGGTTGTACCACTGTATTAATCTGATATTTAGGTTATAAACTGCTAAGATGGCGTCTAGGTTTCCCGTATAACCAGCCTCAAAGTAAATTACCCTGTAGTAAAGTTTAATAACGAGTCAATATCTACAACAATATCGCAAAAGGAACATCAAACCAGCTAAGGCTCAGATTCTAAACGATACTGGGACAACTGCGGCAAGTTTCGAGTTTATGTAAATTAGTGTTCTCGGATTCATGAAGAGGATTGGAAATTTACTGACCCAGTATTCACAAAACTGAACGAAACATTTTAAATCTTGGCTGCGTTTACTACCTTATTAATATTCATTCTAGATAACGAGTGACATAATGAAATATATATATATATATATAGTAAAATTGACAACTGAAGACGAAAACTAGACCTGATAATTAAGGTTTGAACTAATTAGTTAAAAAATGATCTTTCATTACCACCACACTATTTAATTAATTCAGTGTTAAGGATTTGTATATAAGTGAGGTATTATATCCTATGTAAACTATTAGGTATTCACTTATGAAATTTTTTAACTTATCAATTTATTTGAATCCAATGGTAGTCATACCGGTTAATTTATCATTTATTACTTTAATCTTTACTCGAAGAAAACCGAATTCTTTTGATAACCGTTAGTAATAAAATAAGTTATCATTAAATCATTGAAATGATTTGCTTTTCTGCAATTTACGCGAATGGATTTTTAATAAGTGGACTAAAAGATTTTGCTGTTTAAGTAACCAGAGAATAACACTTAGTATAATTAAGTTACTCATACAAAATGCTACAAACTAATAGTAAAGGTCAATGAAATAGTAAAAACCTTACATTTCTTAAAAATTCTATTTTGTTTAAAAACTGACAAAACTTTTCGAATATTTCAACTATAAGCAATTTAAAGAACCAGAAATTTTAAGAAAAGGAAAGTATAGGAAACTGTTTGATAAGTTGAAGTGAGTAACAAGACTGAAATACTAAAGATAGCTAGTAGTAGGGTTCAATTTATATGCTAAGCTCAAAACTTGATGTCTTTCTTTGAAAAACAATATATTGATCGATTTGTTGCTATTATCAAATATATGAAAATTATTAAGTGTACTTCAACATGAATGTAATGTGCTCAACTCCATTTGAAATATAAGCTATTTACAAATAAACTTGCTTCTGGACACAATAAGCTTGTTAATACTAAACTTTTATAAATATTGTTACTTGTTGACATAAACATTACATAAATGCCAAATGGAAGTTTATTTCTAGAATAATATTACAGTTTAGCTAATTGAACATGTTTTGACACATCTAAATGTATAGAAGCTAAAATTTAATGGATTTTTCCCTTAAAATAAGTAAACTAATGTGAACAAAATAAATAATGTACATACACAGATGACATATTTATTTCAGAATAAGCAGATATATATGTGTCGAAATAGTTTATGAATTTGATAAAACATCAGAAAACTGGTTAGTTTTTCGGAGAGCTAAGTGTAAATAAACCAGTTGGTTAAGAATTCTCATAAATTTTCATGATTAATACTGTTAATAAACTCGCATCAAACAAATAATTAATTTCGTAAAGCAAATCTATTTTCGATTTCATTCAAAAAGATGTATAGAAACAATTACATATTATTTGCAGGCACGAGATCACAGAAGAATTTTCGCCCCTAAAACAACTACTAATGAAGAACGTATACTAGCCAAAAAATTTTGAAGAGAATGGGAAACTCAAACTTTGCAGGGATTCAATAAAAATAGTTATATACGATAAAATTTGACAAGGAAGGTGACAAATAGCACCTCACTTAAAGGACGTTTCTGGTTCTCAACAGCTTTAAGTTTGATACGCTTTAGTCTACTCATATTTACCAGTAGGCTAGAGAAAGAGACCTCAGACTCAGCCACTCCCGTATTTGTTCTTGTAAAGCTAGGCATAAACTAAGTGGTTAAAAAAAAACAGTAGTAGATTCACAGTAAATCAATAATAGATAACTCGCGAACATACAGGTCAATCGATCAAAAAACGCTATTCATTTAAACTCCTATACCACATAAAACATTACCTGTCGAAAGTAGTTAACTTGCCCATCCTTAGAGATTTTATTTACATACAGAGGTCAAAACTATGTAATTTAAATAAAATTACTCAACCTCTCCTCCTACCGTAAACACAATCACTAGCTTGTCTAAATTATCAACTATTCCTTCTCTGCTCAACTAACATACTCTTAACAGATTTATCCATGATTTTAAACCCTTTATGACCAAAATTTTATCTTATCCTCTTTTGTAATTAATTTTTATAATATAAATAGTTGCCTAGTTTTTATGGTACACTTTAAAATTAATTTCTAAAGATTAACCAAGTATGTTTCCAGTTTGTTATTAGAAACAATAACTCTGTAATTCTGATTATTTTATTTTCTGTTGTCATATTCTGAAAATCATTGCTACTATCGATAGATATAAAATATCATTGTAAAATAGTATTTTGTTTTGTGACTATATAACTCTGAGGATAAAATAGGCATGTCTCTTCATGCTCAATCATTTATTCTATTTCATTGAATGTTTTCCACACAAACATATAAACAATATGAATGAACCTTTATAAAATGGACGTAAATTTCATCTTTAAAAAATATATAACTACTGAAGTTTACCTATTCCATGTTAAAGAGTGAATACTTGATAATATAAACAAAATGGTTTAAATCTATGAATGATTGTTTATGTACAGTGATACTTTTCCATGAAATTTATCATTTAGAATAGCACTTTATGCAACCTTTTTATGTCATTCCAATTTAGCTTAATCAGTTGTTTTTTGAGTTAACTATTTAAATGCAGTGATAAGTGATTTTCAAACGATTTAAATAAAAAGGAAACTCTAAATAAAACTGAATATTTAACCGTGTATACAACTATTGAAATCATTTAAACAACTGAGAGATAAACAATTCTCTTAGAAATCTCATAAATAACTGAAATTAAACAACAATAGCAACACAGATATAACACATGACAACGATAATTTTAAAAGAAAACATACCCAAAATCGATATAGTAATAAAAACGAGGTGAAAATAAAAAAAACTATTTCAACATCACATACACAAAATGTAAGCATATATGATCATTCAATAAAATTCATGAATAAAGAGTTATATATGTGTATGTATGCATAATTATTTAAGTTATATGCATTAAAGATGACACTAAACTAATTCTTACTCATATTCAGCTTCATCAACTGTACATTTGTATACGGCACGACTAAACAATGTAATGTCTGTAATTTGAATAACTTTAAGGGGAAAAAATGTGATCAAAAACAATTACGACAGGAAAAAATAGAAATGTATACAGAAAGATGAAAATTTATGATACATCAATTAAAAATGACATTTAATTATCTTCTACTGTTTAATTAATGAAAAGAAAAAATAATAAAGGTATATACACTTAATTGCAACCATGAATAACAAGTATACACAGAAGAAATCTGACAACAAAGAGATTTTACGTATTGCAGTGAATACTGAAATACTCATAAGAATAAAATTGAGATTATAAAGAATAATGAAACAGAAGTGTTTACAAACAAACGTATATGTAATGTATTTGTAAAAATAAAATCTAGAAAAAAAGTAAGGCAATAGTAATAATAATAATTAGTAGTATAAGCTATCATCCAATCACATTCGTTCAAAGGCAATTCTTAAATTAAATTAAATCGCTTCGAGTACGCAAGAGATATAATCACTGGAATAAAAATAGTTTTTTTGAATAAACATAGACATTAATCCAGTATAAATAATAAATAATATTCAAACATTCAAGTAAGAACATCAAAAAGATCCAATCAACAGAGTTTGTTTAAGGTTGACGGATATTCGTCTATTGTGCTTTAACTGAATAAAACACTTTTATCTGAAAATAATCTCGTATGCATTTTTCCAATTATAAATTTAACAAAAGAATAACGACTTCTGTAAATCATACGTTAATTAAAGTATATTTAATGAGACAATTTCATTGGTAGAAACGCCTAAATACCTTGAAAATTTTGAATATATTCAGGAAAAATCAAAACTCTTGAAAGAAAAATTGATGGACTTTACATTGACTCGTGATGTCAAGTAAATTAGTTTAAAATCTTTTAATGTGATTAATAAACGATCTAATTGTAATCTTCTCTACTTTGATTTGATTGTAGTAATCAAAAACTTTTCGACTAATTTAAGCCTTTATTTAACTAGTTTAGTTTAATAAACTAACATTTCTATTCTTACTTCAGGGTTTTACTACAATAGTTAAACTGAAAATGTCAGTCAAGACTATGGAAATTCAAACTTAGTGAGCAATAAAATTATTTAAATATATACAAGTAAAAAAAAGAAGAAAAGAGAAAAGAGAATGAAATATATTACTCATCATAATTTCATTATTATTTTCATTGGATAGTGTTTCCATGATTACAAATATTATAATAACATATTAAAGTACTAATTTTGAAGAAAATTACTTGGTTATATTGACAGTTGACCAAAACTACTATTTCAATGAACAAAAACATATAATCAAACATTCATCAAGCATGAATATTTATGACAATTAGTATCAAACTTATTCAAAATGATCCTGAACTATTGAATAAATCAATAAATAAATATATAGAAGAAATACGTATTTTTGTACTCTGTATTAACACTGAAAGTTTTTTGTAGTTGTAATAATATAGAAATATAAATCAAGATTTCTTGTAGAGAGAAAAAAGAAACAAAACAAGATAAATCGAAAGTCTTTGTTTAACATAAGAAGAAAAACAAAATACAATCGGTGTTTTTCGATGGAATCTAAAAAGAACATGGTAGATTTACTCATGTAACATTTACTAATAAATTTTGGTATTTCTGATTAATTTGAGAAAAATAGTCCTAATGACTAGAATTACTTATTATGACTATAATAATAGTAATAATAATAAGTATTATTATTATATTTTTTTATTGACGTCATGATTAATCTAGACATTGTCGACAAATAAATGTATTTTTCGATTCTCACAAATTATTCACAGACATTTGTTCGCATAGTTGCTTACAACAATTGTTGTGGATATTTAATTAATAGCTTTGTCAGGAAATCATGCACATCAGAAATATCATTTGTACAATATATATATATATATATATATATATATATATATATATATATATATATATAATCAAGTTTTCCAACCCAAATACATCCCTACTAACTCAGACTATTAATTAAAAACGAATCGTGTATACATAACATAACGTTTAAATCCAACGAAAACACCTTTGTTAGTTCAATTCTCAAATAGCAATTTTAATGTAGTTCAAGTTAAGAAAATACAATAGATCATGTTGGACAATAAAAAAATGTCTGCAAATACTAGTTATAATAATTTATAAGTACGAACCTGTGTAAATGTTTGCCTATGTGTGAGTGTGTACAGAGAGTGAGAGACAGGAAGCAATACTTACCTGACAATTTGATTTTTTTCACTGTCTTATTTGAATTATTGTCTACCAAAACATTGATATCTATTGATTCACCATGATAATATTTCTATTTAGTGTTGTTGATGATAATATTATCATTGATTCGAACAAGAAAATGAATAAAGAGGAAAATGAAGAAAAAAAGCAAATAGATGAGAAAACAGATCAATAGACGTAAAATCAGTGTTATGAGTGTATATTACTGATAAATATTTAGCATGAATATTGAATATGAGATAATTATTCATAGTAGGTAATGCAAGACGGTCACGCAACTTCACTAACTGATTGAATCCGGACATTTACACAATCGGTCCCCAGCTCGGCTGTCTAAAACTTAAATGTTCGCGCATGACACTAAAAGTTCTGGGCTACAACTCCGGTAAGGACGTAGATGTTTACTGCTTAGGATTTCAGTAATACGACAAAACAGTCTGCTGATGCATTTTTGATTTCCAGTATTTGTTTAATTATGATCTATCCATTATGCTTATACTGCTACACTAATGAATCTCAGTACGTTATTGAGTCTACTTTTAAGTCATAAAACGGTTTTCACGAAATTCACTCTAGATAAATATAGCAACAATACTGAATAACTTAATTGTTTTTTCATATGGTTTGAACCAAAAATAAAGTGATTCATTTATAATTCATTGGAAAACAACATAAGCAGTTTTGGTAATAAACGACTAAATATATATCTTTAAACCTTTTACAAAAGAATAAAAAGCATCCATTGCAATCCAGAATTACCTATGGAAGCATTCTTTACATGTAATAAGATATTCGACTCGAAAATAGAAAAAATAATGCACCAGCCTCGTATGGTTATCAACTATAATGTGATGCTATCTTCTGATATCACTTCATTGCGTTTTGGATTATATATTTAGGTTTTATACTTGAGTATAATCACCGAAGAAAACTACCTTTGGTATTCTCACATTGTATCAATAAATGATAAGCTTAGTTTATGAAACTATGACACGTTCACAGAAACGAAATTATATTTGCTAATAATGCAATAAAGGCAAACATATATAAAATTCAGACAAATGAGTGTGACTGTGTAATATTGAAGTGATTCTTTATCAAACCTTCAACATCTTATGTTTGATTGTTAGTATTTGTAAACTATCGGATCTATTTAATTACAGTTTAGTTTAACGACCGGAAATTGTAATAACTTGAAGATTAAAAAAGATCATTAAAAATAATTTTCTTCAGTTATCCGAAAGTAATAGGGTGCAAGTATTTGGTAATCAATATTCCGAAAAAATCTTATGGAATTTCATTTACGAATCGGATATCTAAAATTCAAGCAAAACTAATTCATACACAAGAAAAAAGAAAAGATTTATCCTTGATTTAATCAGCAGGATACTCATTAAAAAGAGGAAAACGATTGGAAGTTTGGGCAGATGGTTATGATGCGATATTCTCTGAGATGGATAGATTAATTGTAAAGCATTTATTGTCTTGACTCAACCAATCGGCTATTAAGACCCAACAATACCAAAAATGTGCTTAAAAGTGACTGGTTTCATGAGGTATTTCCTGCAGTTCTAGTGAGAATCCGTGGCCAGTGGAGTTCAACGGTCTGTTTTACAGACGGTTACTAACTGAAGACAAACTTTATATTACCAGTCCCTTCTTTGTTCATTTTATAACTCAATCTTATTTTTAAATAATATTTGTTAGGGTTATTTTCCTAAAGGCTCTAATAGATTTTAAAACTATAAAATAAAATATTTAAAACAAATTGATTAATTTAAAGAAATAGAGGTTTAAAATCAGTAAAAATCTACCTACTTCTTTATTTAAAGAGACCTCCAAACGAAGTGTACCTGGACTCATAATGAATTCTTTAAGGACCACTGCAGATGGTTGTGGGGCTGGTTCTTCTGGTGCATAAGTCAGTTTACGAATAGCAAGTCGAACAGCATTACTATTGATTTTGAAAAATATAAATCAGAGAATGATAATATTTTAACGCTAAAGTTACCTTCAGAAGAAAATCATTCACTCACCAAAAACAAGTATTCATCATAAATGTCGTTATTGTGAATTTATACTACAGTGAATTGACAAGATTTTGCATTCGAAAGCAGTTTAGCGCATGTATGGATTACAGAAATTGGTTAACGAACAGAATAATCATTGCAAATATCACCGTATACATTAAACTTTACTTATATAAGGGAATACAGTAAATTATAATGCCTATCTCCTGTTTGTCTCTTCTGTTTTCATACATGCACACTCAAACACACAGTCAGTTATTATCAAAGTTGAATGGCTTCAAGTCCTCATTCTACAATAGCACGATGAAATGGAATTAAGCAAATGAATAATAAAAGTGATCAAAACAACCTAATAGCAATCACGGTTAAAAAAGAAAAGGGCTCAAAAATCCACTGGGAAAGTATACATGAAGGAGTATCGGAACTCAAAATCGATAGTAAAATAAAATTGAGTATATCTGAGTCACTGTAAACGATTCTGATTCATGTCATAAAACGTCTCCAGCTACTGATCATTGTTATCACACTGACCGCACCCAAGTCGTCTGCATCTGCCAATATGCCTGGAACCAATACTCATTGACTTCATAGACTGTCACGTTTTTTGTTTTACTGCAACTAGCTTTCTTCCAACCTATTTTTGTATTACAAGGCATTTCTCATCGGAGTATGCAATGGTGAGGCATACGTGGAACCTCTCCTAGTCACCTCAGCCAATAAAGTTTCACTACGTCATCGACTGGTCTGCCAGTATCCTATGCTTAACTTCAACATTGCTCGCACCCACACAAACACAAAAAATGTTGCCCATAATATCGATTTGTAATTTGATCTTTTAAGGCATGTTATATTAACAGTATAGAGTTTGCATTTGCCAGACGTATATCTGGGCACTAACTTGCATTACTACGTAGACAGTAAACTTGTGCACAGCTAAATCTATAGTAACTCATTAACTCACGCATGATCTCAGTAAGAAAATATCACATATTCAGTCCTCTATTTTATTATCTTTGAACTCCTTCCACTAATGGAAATTTTCAGTATTAGTTATTTTCTTATTCTTTGTCTTCGACGTAAAAGTATACAGGTCAAGTAAATAATGTTGTTAAAGACAAATGTTTCTTTTACTGAACCCTCTTCATTTTATTTCTTATTTATTTTTCCATTCATTTATTGTCTTCTTATGTTCATTACAATTTAATAGAAGCACGAACTCAATTTCAAACACTCAAAAAAATTAGTTAATCAAGCATAGGTTAATCGAAACTTCTTTCTTTCTTTGGGATTTTATTAACATCAGTTAGGGAGCAGAAATGGTTAGTTTATCTCCCGTTCTATAATTTACGTTACACCACGTTAAAATGTTCAGATCTTTTTACGATATAACATCACCATAAATATATAGATCAAAACAATCAGAGCACTTTTAGTCTGAATAATTTCAATAATATTAATTGTTAAGAATTGCGGTTATTATTATTATTAGTATTATTATTGTTAATATTAGTATTCACCGTTTATTACACTGTAATTGATTGTCCGGGCGGTAGCCTATAGCTCCGCATAAAAACATTCGGCTGCAAAAATTGGAGTAAATGAGCTGTAATAGTTTAATATGAAAAAACAAAAACATTCAATCATATTATAGAAACGATCAATTATTACCATAATAATTGGCAAATTGAATTTTGTTTTTTAGAAAAACAATACACACACGTATAAGTACATACACTCAGTGACTGATAGAAATGATGATCTTGATAAAAATTAAATAATAAAAATCGATCTGTTCTCAAACGTTAATCACGAGCTCATGTGTGAAAACAGTAGCAGTTTAGTTTTAATGTTACTTTACCAAGTGTTTTTTTAATAAGTTGTTCAGAGAAATCATTTTTATCTTTAATGACTGAGTTACAGATTCAAACCTCGTTTCACATACTTCAGTTTGAGCACTCAGTATCGCCAACTCTTAGATAAACAGTCTGACTCGTAATTAAGTATGAGAAATCCGCGATTTTATTCTATGTTCGCTTATTCAAGAAGGGGATGTCTAAGAAGCTTAGTAACATCTTAAATGCTCTGTACATAAATGCCTCAGGCGAAGAAAGAGTATGCAACCAACTTCCTTCACTTTTACATTTCAGAAACTGGATAAAAAGGTTTGTCCAATCTTACTATTTTTCTTTGACATTGGCATTGATGACATTTCGAGAGAACAGCTCTAAAGGAAGTGATTTATATCCGTTATAAGGTGTATGCGGATTACATTGTCTTACTGTGCAATGAAACACAAACGAGACAAATGTTACTTATTCAGTTGACGACCAATATTCGTAGACGGTTAGTTAGAATAAGTTGAGATGTACGTAAGTCTGCGAAGCCGTGTGAGTATTCGTTGAAGCGTAATTGATGAGACAAATCTACGAATAGTGAAAGTCAAAGCGGTTTATGATAATCTGGACCATCTTTGTCGCATTCGCGATTTTGCTTTCGTCTTATAAGATTGCGTTTACGACTAGGCAGCGAAATGAGTTTTGCTGTATCCTTTTGAAACCTGACCCTTATGAGTTGGCGATGTTCGGTGACTATCTATTTTTGATCATCGTTGTCTCTGAAGGGTTCCTGGTACTTGGTATAAACACCATGTTAGTAATGGGGATATTTTTAACATGCATCTTTATATAGTGACGATAACTCCGGTTGTTATCACCGTCTTGAAAATCTTGCTTGTTTAGCTTGGATCTGTGCTACAAATGTCGTCCTAGTGACCTCCACATTATAACTTATTTACCGACGCTGAGACTGGTCAGTTTATGACATATTTATGGGGTATGAAAAAGATCTATACAGGATTGGGATCTGTTGGTTCATCATCACTGCCCAGTTGATATCCTAGAGACAGTCAAATATGGCTCAATATAAGTCAGTGGAAGCTCTACTATAGTTCTGTTTCACATTCTTTGTAAAATTATGAGAATCTCATTTAATTTTTAAAAAAACAATATCCTCTGATGTACTTTTTGTTAAAGTGTATCTTTTACTACATATTATTCTCGTTTACTTCTTTTTGTTCCTTGAATTGTTTTTGACTAGACTTCTCAACTTTTCTTTATCTCTTTACAAAGTTTCATTTCTTTGTTTGTTTAGCGAATATTTATTATAGTATCCTGTTGTATCAAAATTTATGTGTATTACATAAGCATTTGGACATCAAGTCTTTATATGGTACTATTTATTTCTCAGAAAAATGAATTATTTTACCAACTGTATCATAGTATCTTTATTAAACAGATCTCAACAAATAAATAGTGGAAATTTAGAAACACTACACAGAAATATATATATATATATTCGTTGAATGCAGACAAAAATTCTGTATATACTAGACACATTAAACAGATTAGTATTAACAGTTAAATGTGGTCTTTTTACGGTTAAGACTTTCTTGGTTTTTAATAAAATAATCAATAGAAATTCATCAGTTAGTTAATTTAGCAGTTTTTTTTTGTTTTTTTAAAAAAAGCGTGTATTATGAATAACTAGAAGATGAACTTTTAACTGATATTTACTTAGTTATTCAGAATTGTATCTACAATACCTACTAATCATTACATATGAATAAGGAGCTGATATTTCATGCAAACAACTCATTTGTAATTATTTGAATAGTTAATATTAAATAATACAACACAATTTTATAGTTTGAATGTATAATTTCATTTATCGTATTACTCTAAATTTATAAAAGAAAATGTTATTCAAATTAAAGTTTTTCTACTAATTGATCTAAACACTACAACTAAATATACATTAATGTTCATAAGTATTTCTTGATGAACTCCACTGCACTGAGAATAATAATATGCACATTAATGACTAGCTTCAAGATGCGATTCATGGAGTTCTAGTGAGGATCCGTAACCAGTGAAGTATTAGAGGCCTTGTATCTGACTTTAGGTCGATCGTATGATTTATTGAAGTATACATATCGTCAATCCTCGTATAAAATTATCAACTTTAATCGCCTTCGTGAAAAATGGAATTAAATAAGTCAAATACGAGAATGGATTTTCAAATATGTATATTTTGTACACTCATTGATCTGAAAAGTCAATCCGAAAGACGAAGCGAAGAGAAGTAAGCGAAGCGAAATGATGCGCAGCGGAGAAGGAGTGTGAGCGAACTCAATTGAACCAAACGTGAATCAATATTTAAAGTCACACAAAAGTAAGTCACAGACGTGTTGAATGGGATAAGAATTGCACACACATACGTTCGTATAAAAATAGTCAAGGTTAATACAAAGGTCAGAATGTGACTCAAGAAGAATGAATAGATTGGGCTGTCCGGAAGATAGAATAAGCTATGTGGGCTGAACATAGTAACCGACACTACAAATTTCAACAATTTCAGTTGTGGGATAGTTATCTACAGCAGACAATTCATGATAGTCATGCAATATTTCGAATCGGTTGACTTTGGATATGTACACCATCAGATGCTGGATCAGTTGCCTGAAGCTTAAGCGTTAGCCTACGATATTAAAGGTTCTGGGTTAGATCTGCAGCAGCGTTGTGGATTTTCTCTTCTGAGAAGTCCTGAAGCAGGATAAAACATTTGTTTAATGTTTTCTGGTTCTCAGTAGTCATCTAACCGTGCCCTATAATTGGATATCGATATTTAAGATTATTCGTACGCAACAGTTATATGACTTTTAGTATTTTGAAATAATCTCCTGACATATGTACAGCCGGTTATGTGTATCTGTGCGAGTTTTCATATTTCTCACCAATACGAAATAATATGATGAACAAGTAACAAGGACCCTCACATCTGTAAAGACAGCTCGGACTAATAGTTATTGAATTCATATACTGATGGAATTTATTGGTCTGGTAGCCTCTAGTCCTTCTCCAACTTAGTTCAATGATGGTACAGTTAAGTGATCGATAGTAGTCAGTTATGCGAAAAATTATTAATGTTTCGTCTCACAGTACGCTGAATAACAAAGTCCACTTCTATTAACTGTTCTGTAAGATGGACTTTATGGTGGATAAGTTTTTTCTTGTTGTTAAGGTAAAATAATAAAAACATTTCGAGTCAATACACACCACAAAATACGTGAACGTTCCCTCATTTATTGTAAGGAATTTTAAACTATATAAGCTTTTTCAAATAGCATATTATAATCTTGATAAAACATAATTTTCATATTGAACAGTTACACACCTACGAATTGACATTCAAGTAGACACTATAAAATATTCATAAAATTAGTGATGAATCACACCACTTTTTATGATTTCACTAATATTTTTAAAATCATTAAAACTTAAAAACATAGTTTAAGCAAAATTAAATATGATGTTTTCAATTTCCAGTAAACAAGATCTTTAAAACTAGTGTACTAGTTGATACAAGCATTGGTATTAAATGAACATTGTATAGGATGAGTAATTATTATGAGAAATACAATCCACAGTAAACGAAATTTATTATATGGTATAATATATTCAACAGAACATAAAAAAAGGATGATATTAATTTTACTAGTTCAAAGGTCCCTCGTCATGCTATGGACGTTTACGTAAACGAAATTTTTTTTAATGTGTGATGTACAAATGCAACAAGCGCGCATTTCCATACTTATGGCCACCATAAATAGATAATGAAGAAACTGAATTGGAATTGAGGGATATCGATAGGGTAAAGAAGATCAAATTAATACCAAAGGTTGTTTAAATTATTTATGTAATATTACATTATCTTTATTTAGTCTACTCATCATCGATCTAACACTCCTAAGAGACTAGCTTTCATCTGAACTTAAGGAGTCCTAATGAGAAATGACTAGTAAAGGGCAACCACGTCATCCATTGTCGTTGATTGATATCACTCTACAATGTAAATTGTTTCAAAGTAAAAATCTGTACCACCAAACTTATTCATGAAACATGAGTGTGTCCTTTTAAAACGTCCTGAGCCAAGAAAAAATAGATCTTTAGCGCTCTCGAATCTGTATGCTTCTTTCCGTAGGGACTGTTCTACAGTAACGTTTTTTGGTTAAAAAGTAATTCAAAACAGCAATTAACTTTACAGTTGATTACTAAGTAGTGACTGATATCATGTTTATGTAGTCTTTGAAACGTGTTTAAAATTGTGAAGCTTGGTGAAACTGTATCGAACTCGCAAGCGAAAACTAATTCTGTTAATATTACAGGTATACTTTTATAACGAGTCTATACTAATACTGACCGGTGTTGTGGATAGTTGGAAGAAAGTCAGGGGCGGCCAAACCAAAATTTGGCATCAGTTCTTGAATACACTAACATCTGATATGAGCCATGTTGGTAGATGCAAACTACTTGGTTGGGATCCATGCGACTATCGTAACCAATGGTTGAGGACTCTTGGTGACATGGCTTAGAATCAATCACAATGGTGTCGGTGTATACACTCTCTGTCTTCCCTTAAGCTATGAGATTAAAATCGCTTCATATCTTTCTTTCTACATACTAAATCTTCCTTATAGACAATATTTCTTTTATATACTACTACCTTTGATATGACTACTCCTATGAATCCGGTGTTCATCTTGTCGTGCTAATGAGGTATGGCAACTTGGACCGATGCATATATGTGCCTGGTCCTACATTGTAGTTGACTGACTGACTGAATAATACTAAACAGCATTATATATGGTATACCTAATAAACATTAAACTAGACAATGACTATTCATTTGTATTATGGAAAAAAAACTAATAAACCTTAATTCAAATAAAAGAATTTACCACCATCATATAAATAAAAACTAGTCAACAAATATTATCGATTTTTTCAGAAAAATTCCTTAATGTACAAAACCATGTCGCTTTTTTTAAATATTTACCGTCTATTTATTTATTTATTCATTTAAATAAACCTGTCATTTTTCAAAAGCATTTTATTCATCATTATTATATTTTGTTATTTTGAGGGAAATGCAAACAATTTAGTCGGGAGATATTTAATTTATTTAGTAGAAGATCATTTCAAAGAAAAGAAAAGAAACAAGTATTCATATTCAAATGAGAATATTACTAAAATTAATAAGGAATTATAGACTAATCATTTTAAAGATTCATTTTGTGTGTTTAGATAAAAGTATTATTAAGTTTGTTAGTTATAAAGAATAAATTGATTTTAATCACTAACTATTGTTCTCTTTTTGTACAGATTTATCACAAGATAAGTAAAAAATAAAAATATATCTAGATGCAACAACAACAAAAAAAATATGGATTCAAAAACTCATTTTTAACCAAAAAAATAGAACTTATACAATATGCAATATTGATTTATTATTATTAATGGCTTTATTTAACATTATATTTCTAGTACAATATAGAATTCTGAGGATAAAGTATTCCAACGAGTTTGTTTTTCTTATTGCTTGAGTGATCCTGACGATGAATATGGAGTGGCCTCCAGTTAAATGTTAGCAGTTCAAGAATTGACATCTCGAATAATTTTCATTTATTTCAATGCATATGGTTAGCCACTACGATGTCTATGATTGCACTTTGCTGCAACTTTCAAAGTGAAAGGTTTCAAAACTTTCATAAACGCGCCTGAATAGGTTATGCGATCAGTAGATAAAATGATTTGTTAAAACAAATAAGCAAAACATATAACTTGTTGTTGTTCGAGATGACAAGAATAGATGGCCCAAATATTCAAGCAAGCGGCCAACTGCCAGTCATAACTCAACGTATAATATACTTGATTAGGTTTTATAATTTTATCAAACTTTTTCCAGTTTATTTTGTTTTAACTTTTCAATCAATAAAATTGTAAATTCTTTATTTCTAAAAGCAATACAAAACTTACCGTTTTTGTAGTTTATCATCCGATGTTTCAGCCACATAAGTTCTTAGTTCATAGTCTACACCACATGGCTAGAAAAACAAGTTATTATTTTGAGGTATACGATGAAAAACCACATTTTTGAATAATTTACAAGTGTATAAATGTTTAAATAAAAATAATTAGAGGACCTTGAATTGCATATCTCAGGAATAGCCACAGTAGCGCAGATATTTCGACTCTAATTTCCTCTTCATTTTGTATTCTAGTAATCCTTTATATGTAACTTTTTGAACCCTGTCTTCTCCGACACATTTCAAATGTACAGTTTTTCTTTTCGTTAGTGACACTAGAGTGCCTTGATCTCATTTGCTATCCACCTTGTTTATTTTATCGTGCTGTGCTAATATCATATGGTAGCACATCCTGAGTCCTATACTGAGAACAACTAGCTGGCACGAATATTATAATCTCATTTCGATGAAAAGTTAATACAGAATAGAGATTTAAATGGTTTTTGGTTTGAACACCTATTTGTTAATTAAATAACATTTAACTAGCAGTTTAAGTACATTGAGCAATGGGTATTGAAATTATGCATTTAAAAAGCGTTATAAGTACAGATGAAATCAAAAAACAAAAGTTTCATTTTAATATTTTCAGAAATATCCCATGTACAAGGACATTTTGAAATTATCTGTGAACAAACACTGAATTTATATTTTATAGTCAACAGAACATTTCTAAATCCCAGATTTCATTTACAATTAAAAATCATCTATGTCACAAGAAAATATTGTTAGAATATTAAATGGAAATTAGACAATTAACACTTCTATTTTTTTCGAAAGATTTACATTAACGCTTGTCGATGGTTTGTGTCAACATTAGATTCATACTATTAATAATTCATATCAGCGATGCTATTTTTTGAATATTAATTTATGAATCCGTTGACAGATCTTTTCAAATTTTATGAACAGATGACACGATCAAACCCGCTCCTTGATGTCATTATTCGTTACATAGAGCTTGCCTGACACAATTACGTTAAATATTTACATAAATATCCACAAGACATTTGATAATTTGACCATCGGAGACACTACGTTTTGTGATTATGTTGTGTCAAGAAAAAACACTAACACTAGGGCCTCGCACAGTGGCTATAAGCCATGTTCTGACTTTTTGATGTACTTAGGGTGATAGTTACTTGATATAAACACCATTCATATCCATTAGATATTGTGATTCGATGAATGTTGTAATTAGTCAGGATAAAACTATAATAAATTTGGATTTAATCTTATAATCAAAAGCATCATATCCCAGATAGTACCTGAGACATTTATAAAACTATAGTTAATATCAGTTAGGCATATAAAACAAATCAGATTTGTAGGTAATTTGGTAAGGCTCGGTTATGGTGATAGGCATAGTTTACACGAAGGAAATAGATTGCAGTTCAAGAAAACAATTTTCATAGTGATGCTTCGTCTGACCAGAATATAATGCTTTATATCCTTAAACAATTCATGCTAAACAACACGAAATTATTTGTGCTTGCAACGACTTTATTTTAAAAGGGAGACTAATGTTTGTAAAACAACCAACAAGGAAAATTCAATAGGATATCCATGTATCTAAGTAACTAAAAACAATGCGCTGGGTAAAATGATAAAGGTTTTAGTAACACATTCACTGTCAACAGTTCGTACTATAGCGTCTACAAAGTCATCGAATTCAGGAATTAATTTAATGACACTTTGTAAAGCATGAACTTTATTACTCCAAGATAGATACCACTGATACGTTTTATAACTATATTGCAAGTGAAGTTTCTATTCCTGTTGTTATCTAATACTCCTTATCTACGAGTGGATTAAAGTTAGGTGGATATGTAAAAACCTCAAGCAAAATTTGTAATAGAAAGCAAATTATTGGTCTTGCTTACTTTGCCGTTTTCATTTGGACCTGGTTGAAGTGTAACTGAAGCAGGTGCGTCTGCAGGAAGCTTTAACAAATAAATGTGTGCAAAACAAAACAACATGAATCGATAAATATCCTTAGGGGAAAATGATATGAAATAACTAAATTTAACACAAGATAAAAGTTTATTTTTCAATATCTGGACACAAAGTTAGAAATCAAAACGAGGAAACCTCATAAAGTTTATTGTTTATTTCAAAGAATAGATCCTGCCGTTTCTAATTCAAAGCCACTTTGTGTACAAACTTCCATAATCATCAGAAATATTTTCGTTGTTCTTCGATTTACTCGTGTAGAAATACTCGGTCGTAAAACATTGGATAATGTGTTTTGTTTGACACTGTAACGCATCCTGTTTAATTTCGAAAAGCATAGCAGTTCCAGTTAAATATTTCTTTTAAAAACACTATTACTAAAAGTTTGAATAGCCTGATTGGTAAAATTTACCGAGCATTTCAAGACGTTGTCCAATACCAGTAAACTGTTCTTACAAACACGAAGTAAATTTTGCACCCTAGACTTTTTATATCATTTTTGAATACTCAATATGTATTTTGTCAAAACAAATGTTGTATGAAAGGAATTATATTCAACATCTTTGCGAATTTAACAGAAAGTTTTACTCATAATCCGAAAGAACGGTTGGTGGCTTTGTATTAAAAAAGCAGTTATTCAACCAACACTATTGTTATATTTCTTCACACTAAATATATTTAAAGTGAATGAGTGACGGAATAATAAGCAAACGCTAAGTTTGTCTATAAAATCACTCCGTAAATAGACGGAAATTGAATTGAGGTAGATTTCAGAACTGGTTGAAAAAAGCAAGTGTTTCTTTGCCATAGTAATCAACCCATAACACCCAACGTCTATGGTTTATGAAAGGGAAGAAAGTAAATCTCTCCACAATCATTCTCGTTTAACAGTTTTGGATTCATGCCGCATAAACAGCTGGTCTGTTAATCCATTTTTATGCCAATTGTCATTTCAAGGTAATGCACAATGTCGTATGTAACTTCAGTAAGGGTGTTTATGAGTTTGACCTGAAGTTTGTAAAGGTAAACGTTTCGTCAGAATTGTTTTTGGAACGTAAAGTGTGCAATTATTATTTTATCAAAACCTGATTTCCAAACTATGTGTTGCATAAGTACATTTATATACTGTACTAGTTCAACCAAACGCTTTTTAATTAGCTGCAATCTTTCAGACAATCAAGACGCTCTTTTGGTGAGTCATCCTATTTCTATTTAGTTTGTTAATTTAATTACTGAGCAAACATATGACTACTATGTGCAAAACTTTCCGATAGTTGGGTTATTTCGACATTCGTGTTGCAAAAATTGGCGAGTTACCTTTGGGGCCTAGGCACTATTTTCAGTACAAAATATAAATAACTCAAGGTTAAAAGCTTACCTTGAAGTAAAATGGAAAGGCGTTACTTCCTAACTTTTTAATCAGACGTTCTTGTAGTCTTGTTAGTGGAAGAGTACCAGAATGTAAACTATCATCTGTCCCTTCAGAAACTTCTGGACCAGGAGGCTTAGAATTTCCACAAACAGATGTACTTGCCGGATTTAATAGAACCCTTCCACAGTTATCAGCTTCGGATGCATAAACTGGAGGATAAACTTGAGCTGAGGCTAGATAGAGATCCTTGCGAAACGTCAACCCAAGTACATCCAAGTCTTCACGCCCATAACGAAATGCTGATAAAACGTGAGTGAACACCTTCCGTCCTTTGACATACTCTGGGTCAACCAATACGACGCCCTCTGAAAAGCAGAAATTGTATATAAATTGTATACAAACGTTGAAATACGATTTCGTATATTCTGTTTGACTATATGATTAGCTATGCTTATATTACTTTAGTACTTTTAATATTCGCGTGAGTAAACCAAGAGTCCTACATGTAAATGCTTGTAATGCAGAAATAAAGCGCCACAACTCGAGTTTTTAAAATGTACGTTTGTTGTCTAATATAATCTAAATGAAATATTTGATAAAAGATCTTTGTATCCACCTTCCAGTTTCTCAATTATAGCCAAAGAAGGTTCTCCAATAAGCCACTCCAAGTGCACCTATGGATTTAAAAATGTAGTTGTCCTGCAACGAAATGTAATCATAAAGCACTGACAGAGTAACAATAAATCATTCCAAATAAAATTTGGGTTGGGATGAGGTCTTGAAATATATAAGTACAGCATATAACATCCAACCTTTAATAAGTAACTACAGACATATAGTAGGTAGAACCAAAAATTACTGCTGCTATAAGCTTGATGAAGAGACAGTTAATATTTCATTTGTATATATAATGCATAAAAGTATACTTCGTAATATACATTCCGAATTCGAAATACATATTAAACTCAAATAAATTACATAGGCCTCACCAATTGGATCTACATCCGCTAGACTGTCAATGAAATCCCTTTTGCACAAGTATGTTGTGATCTACGAGAAAATACAGTTAAAACCACCATTACTTTTCCATTTGGGCTGCTTTTCTTGAAGACCCTATAATAAAGAAGTAATAGAAAGCTTCTACATACTAACCTGGTACCCTGTTTTTTGTGAAAATTATTTACACTGTCATCCATAATATCATAGTTTACTTCAGCTAATTAACAAACTGACATCTCCCAAAACAAACGAAGACACCAATCGACGTCAAATTGGCGCTTTCCTTTCATTAACTACATTCAACCTAGGAGTTATTTCTTGGTGTGAGCAAACAAAGAACTTAATTCGTTAAGAATTACTGTGTGTACTATTTCGTGAAAGACAAAAAACAAAGATAAGAACCAGTATTTTGAGACGATATTGCTGTATATCAAAAAGTTCGTGTATTTTGAGTAACAATTATTACACCTTTATTCAATCTCTACCACCGGAACTTAGTTGGTTTCTACTATTTATTATATGAGATCTAACGCCGTTTAGAGGATAATGTATTGCGAAAATTCCACGTTTCCGGCCTAATAGTTTAGGATATGTTCACGTGTCCGTTGCTTTAAAGGGCTCTTAACAGATTTAGATTGCACTGACTCCCTTTCATCAGAAAACTTTCCCGAAAATGTGCTGATTGAAACAATTTTGTCCATAAGTCTGGGTACGTTTGAAGTTTGCGTTACGATAACACTATCTAATATATATTGATTGTATATCGTTGAGTCCTAGTTTATAACTCATACATAGCTTTAGAATTCATACTTTAAGCAATATGGGTCGACTGTCAAAAAAACGAGCACGGAAAAGTCCTAACTCTTCAGATATTAACAATTCTGTTATTACCTATTCTTCTTGCTCCGCTACTCCTTTTGTATCTGATAATGTTGGGACTGGTCTTTCACCACACGTGCTGCTGGACGACTCTGTTTCTAATTTAGTAATGGGTTCCACCTCAAGATCAAAAAGGATCGATGATATGAAGAGTGAATTAAACAGTCTGTTTAAGCAACTAAGCGACATGCGTTCTAAAGTCGAGTCACTTTCTAGCTCTTTATCAAAGCATGATGATCTTAAGCAAGAACTAAAGACACTATCACCTTTAAAACTGCTTTTGTCAAAAGACATCGTTCCTGCTGAACTTGATGACATTATAAAAGCAGAATCTGTTATCGATTTTATCGCTAGTGAAGTTACCAAGCGAATAGTCTCTCGTAATAACGTGATTGTTTATAATATACCTGACAAAGTCTCCATTAAAACTGTAAGGAATTCGATATTAAAAGCATCTAACCTTCAAGACAGTCCATGCCAATGCATCCGACTTACTAAGAAGCACCAGAAATACTCGTGCCCGGTCTTGTTCAGGTTTGATTCTCATATATTAGCTGAACAGTTAAAAGAATCTGAGCGGCTGATATGCGCGCTTACGAAGTTTAGAAACGCTCGCATAGTCTCAGATAAGACCACCAATCAAAGACTTACGCAAAAGCGTACCGTGAACGAAAATATAGATGTTGAGATCATAAAAAATCACGACGCATCAGCTGCGGGATCCACTGATACTGATACCCTATCTCATGTTCTCCAGTACTCTGATCTGCCAACGAAGAGTGCTAACTTACCTATTATGCCTGTAGTGACATCTGATAAGCAATGTACATCTACTGATTACACTAATCCGATAGTATCCAATTTACCATTAGAAGCCCATAAGCAAATACCTAGTCCTAATGCGACAGCTCTTAAAAACACTGTCAAGATTAAAAAGTCTATGCCACGTAAGAAGAATGTTTGTACAGAACCTTCTGGTTCTAGACCCAATAATAAAAGTATTACGATGGCCCTACTCAATACAAATAAGACTAAACTACCCGACACCATGCTTTACCCAACGCATCGTAGGGGAGGATATAAGTGCAGACCTGGTTCAAATGTCTCACAAGACGGCCACTTCAATCGTTATGTAAGTAGGCCTAATACTGGACAGACCACAGTAAACCAACGAGCCTCACGAGTACCCTCAAACGCTTTAAATAATAAACCTGTAAGACGTAACCTCTCTCAACACTTTCCCATTAGGCAAGATGGATTACTAGGTTACCCAACATCAAACTTTTCAAATAATATACCAGTAACACATAACTTTTCTCAACACTTTCCGATTGGGCAAGATGGATTACTGGGTTACTCACCATCAACCCAACCTTGTCTTAACTGTCCGCCTAGTCAAGTTCAACAAATTAATCCGCTTTATCAAAATAATGATTTTTTTGGCCTTCAGAAATCCCTGGTCCCACTAGCACTACAGTTTGCTCAAGCGATCGCCCATGTGATCAGTCAAACATAATAAACCACAGTCTATGCAAATCCAAAATACACGACATCAATAGGGAAGCTCTCGGTTTTTTTACACTCCATACGCCCTTTCTAAATCTATTACTTATCAATGCACGTTCACTTCTGAACAAAATTTCAGCCTTGAGAACATTAGCCTTTCTATCCAAGCCTTCTTTCATACTTATCACTGAAACATGGTGCTCTCATGCAGTATCTGACTCAGAATTAAATATCCAAAACTATAGACTCTATCGCTGTGACAGAGAAACTAAGCGAGGAGGTGGTTGTATTATATATGCTTTGGATACCCTAACAACTAATAGAGTTGAAGATAGTGTCCTGAATAGTTTACCAGAATCAGTCTGGATATCTGTCAACACCCCGAATCATAGTCTACTCCTTGGATGTATATACAGAGCTCCTGAGAGCTCAAATAATGGGAATAATCTTATTATCAATGCATTCATACATGCATCTGCTCTAAACTTCAATGCTAAGGTTATCACTGGTGATTTCAATTATCCTGGGATTAACTGGAGTACCGGTAGCTGTCAGTCATGTAATGAGGAGTTCTCGGCAACCATTAACATGCACTGTTGGTCACAGTGGGTTCGTACCCCAACTAGAGGTGATAGTATACTCGATCTAATATTTAGTAGAGATATTATCCCACTGTCTGTAAAGGTATACGATGAATTTGAAAGCAGTGACCATAAGACAGTAGTATGCTCTCTCCCTATATATCCCTCTTCTAACCGACCCATTCAAAAAACCTGTCAATATAGAGACTTTAAGCATGCCGACTGGGACCTCATGCATTCACTGATTAAACTTTCAGACTGGGATAACTTTTTTTCATGTACTAATCTCATAGATACTATCGACGAGTTCTATTTGATCGTTAACTCTTGTTTAGATTCTTCTGTACCTCTTAAAACGTACAGGTTTATTAAACCTTACGAATTATATATACCAGCTAAATATCGTAATAAACTAAGACGCCTACAGAATCGTTATTTCAAGTCAAACGACTTCACGGCAGCTGCGCAAACAACAATAATTTTTAATCAAATTAAAGAGACACATAGGTTAAAAGCCATTAATGAGGAGATACTAGCACTTAATAGTAACTCAAAAATACAAAACTTAACTCTACTTCTCAATAAACGCGCTAAAGTAACTCAAAATGTTGATATACCATGCATCCAGCATAATAACACTTTTATATACGACTCTAAAACTATGGCAGACCTTTTCAGTGCTACTTTTGCGAATGATGTAGGAACCACAAGTGGCTCTGCTTCAAGAGATACGTGCGTGACCAGCAACTACATAAAATCTATCTCCTTCACATGTAAGAAAATTAATATGGCTATAAATGCCCTTAAGCTTTCGCGCGGTCATGGAGCAGACGGGATTCCATCCTTTCTCTACAAATACGGTGGTCCAGATATTCCACTTCTTCTTCTAAAGCTGTTTACTGTCTCTATAGAAACTGGTTCTTACCCTTACTGTTGGAAAACCGCGTACATCATACCACGTTATAAATCTGGAGATAAGACTGACATGAACAATTATCGGCCAATAAATATTACTCCAGTGATCTCTAGGATTATGGAGAAAATTGTAAGTGATGAACTTTCCAACTATTTACTCGCTGGAAACTTTATCAATGATACTCAACATGGATTTCTCAAAAATCGGTCTTGCATGACATGTCATTTCGACTTCTTTAATTTAGTCTACTCTCTACGTAGCCAAGGATATCTAGTCTTAGTGCTATATCTGGACATTTCTAAGGCCTTTGACATGGTTAACCACCAACTTCTTATAGGCAAACTTGCATCTTATGGGGTTCAAAATCCTTTGCTAGATTGGATTGAATCATTTCTCAGCAATCGACATCAAATAGTTAAAATTAACTCTTCATTGTCTAACGCTGTCCCCGTTAGAAGTGGTGTAATACAAGGTAGTGTCTTAGGCCCTTTGCTCTTTTTAGTGTTTATCAATGACATTTGCGAAAATTTTTGTGTAGGTAAGCCCCTTCTATATGCAGATGATCTTAAACTAGTATATTCATTTTCTCCACATGAGCTGGAAAATGTGCAAACTTGCATTAACTTGGAGCTTAACAAGGTAGCACAGTGGTGCTTAAAATGGCAACTGGAACTTAATACGGCTAAATGTGGATGGATATGCTTGGGCGATACATCACTTAACCTAGACCTTACCATAAATGGAGAAATGTTAACTAGGTTACATACAGTAGTAGACTTGGGACTTAGATACTCCCAAGACTTATCGCTTACAGAACAGATATCGAAACAGACCTCCAAGTCACAACGACTAGTAGGTTACATAATTCGAAACCTTCATAACAATGAATCACGAATTTTAATGTACAAAGTTTGTGTTCGACCTCTTCTAGAATATTGCACGTTTATTCTTAGCAGTGCGCGCATAAAGGATAAATTAAGGCTGGAATCAGTACAGAGACGATTTACACTTCGTATTCTTGGAGCTGATTGCTCCTTAACTTATAATTCTAGATGTAAAAAACTAGAGCTAGACCCTTTATGGAAGAGGAGACTCAAACTAAATCTTATTTTTTTCTTCAAACTACTTAATAAATTATCCTTTACATCCAATCATGTAATTCAATATGCAGAGACTCCTCATTATGAAACCCGTAATTCCTTGGCACTTGTGAAACTAACTTATTCTAAATCATCTCTTTATATGAATTACTTTGCCTGTAAATTTTCTAGACTCTGGAATAACCTACCAGAACATATCCGTACGATTAAATCACTCCCATTATTTGTACGTTGCATCGATGCATATTGCTCCTCCGAAAATGCATTGAATGCTCTAGCACCCGCAAGTGTATCTCACTCCACAAGTGTTATTATAGGAACTTTAAATGTTTAG